GTGGATTTGGTGGATTTGGGGTGGATTTGGTGGATTTGGGTGGATTTGGGTGAATCGTGTGACCCCTTTAGGGAGTAGCGGCATGGCGGACGTGTTGCGTCACTGACACGTAGCCAATGCTCTATCCAGATATTATTATAGAGATCAGTGGTGCTAACCGTTGCGCTGCTGCCACATATTGAAATTAAAATTTTGGATGTGCTATGTATATCGCAAGAAAACAAGCTCAACCAATCAGGCGTCAGTACCGTCAGTACCGTGACTTTAAGAGAAAAATAATCGGCGACGGTACCGTCGCAGGAGCAACAGCCATATATTAAAGTGTTGCGAGCATAGGTTGCCAGAGTCGTAGAAAATGAGAATTGATTCTACCGAGGCCACGAAGATACGCTTTTTTAGCCCTTCCGCCATATTTGAGTTCCAGATGTTGTTCAGCTTGTGGAGCGCACGCCAAGCCTGGGCCTTTCTCATGCCAATATCTTTACCTGACGAGCTGATATACGAGCCTAGGTACTTGAACTCATCCTTGACAGCTAATATTTCACCATCGAGAGTAGTCAGCTCTACGTTATCCGGGTTGGTAAAGGGTACTACCTCGGTCTTTTTAGTATTCAAGGATAGTCCAAGCTTTATGCATTGAGTCTCCACACCACATAGCAATTCTTGAGCTTGGTTCACCGAGTCACTTGATAGTGCAATATTGTCAGCACAGTCAAGATTTGTTATCATGACAGGGCCGACTCGCCTATTCCATCTTGGGTAGATAGTAAACCTGTGCTCTTTCTCGCAGCCATTTATTACTTTGCGTAAAGCATAGTCAAGGGCTATCACAAACAGGTAAGGGGCTAAGGTGTCGCCTTGGAGGACACCTACTTCGATATTAAACATGTCTGTTTCGTTGTCCGGTGAGACGACTTGCCGAGGTTTTAGCGTACATATCGCTTATTGACTGCACTATTTTAGGTGGTATTCCATATGCCAGCAGAATTTTTATGAGCTTGCCTCTGTGAATGCAATCAAATGCCTTTCTGAAGTCCACAAACGTTAAGACTGCGGGCAAGTTCTTCTTTTTTGTGCCCTCAATGAGACGTCGTAACGCAAGCACTTGTGCAGGTGTTGACCTTCCCTCCCTAAATCCATTCTGGTTGAGTCTTAAAAGATGGTCTAAAGGTGATCTAATCCTATTCAGAATCATTCTGTTGTAAACTTTCGCAACCACTGAGCTCAAGCTAATTTTCCTGTAGTTGTCCCTGTTTCTGAGATCGCCAGCTTTTGGTATGGGAATTATGTTCAGGATGGACCATTGCTCAGGAAGCTCACGGTTCTCATGCGCCCTATTAGTGATGCTCAAAACTAGGTCATCAATATCCACCCACCTCAAAACGTCGGGAACAACCCCATCTTCTCCACAGCTTTTCCCGGCTTTCCCCCCAAAAAAGATTTTGGCCTGATGAGTACTCCTTAGTGGAAAAGGACCGTCATCGATAAAGATCAGAGGAAGACAGGTGTCAATCTCCTCATCCCACATTCCTTCCACGTCGGGGTGCCATAGCAAGATTTTAACAGGACGTCCATATTGACCTTCATCTTGCAGTTTTGCAACAATCTGGACTTGGTATGGTATAAACGGCCGCATCTCCCTGGACTAGTTTCCAGCCCGCAATGCTGTACTAGCGTCACATGCTTCAGCCGCTTCTACTTTCTTTAGCAATCTCTTTGCGACGCTCATGTATAATTCTAACAGCTTTCCTTTGCGCTGAATGTAAGTCTCCATCCATCTCGCCTATCACATGCAGTAAACGATATTGAGGCCCGTTCTACGTCCGGCGCGCGTCATCACTCGTGGTCTGCAGAGGAAAATATGGCCTCTGTTCTTTGTTGGAGGTCCAGCAACCTCCTTAGCCGCTTCGTTGTTAGCTTCTATAAAGTGTGCATACCGAGAGGTTCCTGTTTGATCGATGTCCTCGCAAAGGAGCTGGAATCTATTTCTGATTGCCACCTCGTATCTATCCTGCAGTTGTAAGTTATTCTCGAGAGCCGTCCAGTTATAACTAACTTTCTTCGACGCACTCTTCTTCAGTGCTCTGAGACTTAGACGTACTTTAACCGACACAACCCTGTGGTCAGAACCCACACTTGCCAATGAGTTGTAAGCTTGGCAATCCAGAATGCTGTTACGCCATTTTTGTCTGGCGAGTATGAAGTCGATTTGCTGTGTGTATTTGACACCGTTAGTATCTGGTGGAGAGATCCAAGTCCATAACTTCTTGGGTGCCTTCTGGTACTGAGTATTGCAAGCTATTAGAGCATGCTCTTCCATTAAATCAAGAAGATACTCTCAATTTCTGTTAGACTTCTCGTGGCATGAGAATAATACCTCGTCGGAGCCCAGACGTCCGTTAAAATCGCCCAGGATAAGGAAGAAGTTATGGGCAGGCACAGCGCTTATTGTGCTACTGAGGTCAGAGTAGAATGTCTCAATTTCTTCTTCCGTCGCTGCACTTGTCAGAGAATAAGCCGAGATAACTGTTGTTATTGGATTGCTCTCAAAATTGGCTAGCAGCTAAATTCTTGCATATACAGACTTGACACTCAAGGGTGCTTTCCTTGCTTCTGGGCTCAGGGCAATGCCTACGCCGCCAAATGAGGCTTGTGCCGCATTGTGCCAGGCTGGTGATGTTATTAGGTACTGCCTGCCCATTTCGTGGTAGGTGATGACCTGGGTTGGGTCCTTGTGGATAATTCGATGTTCCTGGACTCCCATAACTGCAATCCCGTTCCTCGAAATATGATGTGCTAGCTCGAGTTGATTTCTAACGTTCTTGATTGTGCGGGTATTCATTGTAGAGAACACCACATCCTTCTTGCATTTCAAAAGGGTAGCTTTGGGCTCTTTACATTCTTCGGCCGATCCTTTCCCAGAGGTGTGAGGGAGCGACGTCATTGTGCCTAAGAGGCAGTGTATCCGTTCCCACAGCAGTGCTTCTGCTCACTTCCGGAGCTGGCAGCCGTATAGGATTTATGCTTTGTTGTGCCATCATTATTTTTCCTTTCTGTAGCTCATACAAGACAGGGGTCGCCACTCCTCTCTGTCCGCCAACAGCGTGTTGGTTTCTTTTTTTGGGGGGTATGCTCCCCTAGATCCGTTGCGTTCTGCGAGACTAGGGGCGGCGCAAAGAGCCACAGCAGACGGTCTTCGTCAAGTGAGAGGCAAGGTAAAACAGTAAATGTGTTTTCTATTAAGCGGGAAAGCATAGGGCCTAGTAATTTAAATTTGCAATCTCCGTCATAACGCATGCGCAGTGTGCCTGTTTTCGACTTAAAAACATTTCTCAATGCGATCTGTTAACACGTGTTTACATTCTTCCCTGTTTGACCCTTGCTTGACCTCCATCTCTAGTACTATTTATACGATACGAAATTCAGAAACTCGGAAACTCAAAAAGTCATATGTCGCTTCAGGGCTTCCATGCTACTTTAGAGATTTCGGTTACACCGAAGACTCTATTTCAAACCACAACACACTACAGGGCGCGGCCATTTTGGAATAACAAAACGTGGATCGGAACGCCAGGTTACCCACAAATTTCCACTTAAGAAATCAATACCGAAAATCAAATAAAGGAAAAGTCTAGCAGTAGTAAAGTACAGATTAAGGTAGCAACCAGGCCGTATATAAGGCGGCCGAAAAGCCGTAGAAAGCAGAACGCCGGGGCAGCTGCCCCTAGGAGCACCAAAGACTCGGAGCACCAATCACTACAAGACTCGGGTCACTACAAGTCTCGGAGCAC